AAGTCGCTTTGGATAAAAGCGTCTGCTAAATGACTAAATGTAAATGTAACTAAATATCTCACTTTTTGTGATTTAGTCAAATTCTGGTGTGTTAAATTAAGTCCCGCCGTGCATTACTTTGCACTATTATTATTATTATTATTAGTTTGCTCAGAAATGCATAATTTTACATTAGTTACATGCGTTGCAAATTTCGTGTTGGCATGAAATCAAAAATAGCCATGTTTATTTTATTATTGCATGTTACTGGTCTTAATGTGAATGATTCGTCACTGCATATACAGTATATGACACTGCACATATAAGTCATGCCGACTTTAAAACTGCACTCGGTAGTTGAAAATTATTATATTTTATTATTATTATTATATTTTATTATTATTATTATTATTATTATTATATTTTATTATTATTTATTATTATTATTATTATTATATTTTAATGAAATATATTATAATATTATTATTATTATATTATATTATTATATGATTATATTTTAATGAAATATATTATTATATTATATTAATATAAATATTAAAATATATTAGTTCTTAGGGTCAAATGGTAGTTTTTATTTTATAATAAATTAAACAATTTTATTTTATAATAATATTTTATATTAACATTATATAATAAAAGTGTTTGGTAACACTTTACAATAAGGTCCCATTATTAACGCATTTACTAACATTAACAATGAGCAATACATTTGTTGAGGTATTTATTAATCTTTGTTAATGTTAGTGTACAGCTTTTGATTTTAATGATGCATTATTAAACGGTGAACATAAAACATTAACTGAGATTAATGAATGCTTTAGAAGTATTTTTCATTGTTAGTTGATGATAACTATTGTAGCTAGCGAACAAATGTTTACAGTGACAGTAAGAGTGCATGCCAGTGCTTGTTGTGAACATGTGCTGTGTTGTGCCGTATGTTCGTGAGGGTTAAGTTTCCAGCCTCTCTCTGACTCAGGCAGCTGCATCTGCACCGGACTGTCCGCCCTTCTCTCCATCCCTCATTTCCGATCAGGACAGATAAGCTGGCAGGATAGGAGCATGGGGCTCACACGACAGGAGCATGGGGCTAAAGCCAAACCCAGACACCTCCCTGACACAGTGGAAAATAATCCTTCACTCCTCTTTCTCTCCCTCACTCAGTGTTTTTATAAGCTTTCCCCTTTTTTTAGGGAAAACTTTCCACCATTGCCATTTTTAGGTGGTTTATAGCATTTGGCGCCACTAGATCAGGAGGGTGTGCCAACCTGTGCCCAAGACTTGGAAAACCAGAAAAAAAGTTTCCTAATCCAGTTGGAACAGTATACGGGTGTTCATTAGAGTGGGATAGCCCTTTCACCTGCAGCTCGTTCAGCAGGAGCATTCAACATGCCTAGCTGCCCCATGTCAATGCCTCCTATCACTTTCTCCACATAAAGATGAGACTTTAATGACTTTCCAGTGTCAGGACCAGCTTCCATTATCACCTGTTACCTATCAAGTGTGATGGAGCGTCTGGGTGTTTGTCTTGCATCCAACACCTGCACTGCAAAAATGTGTATTCTTAATCAGTAATTTTCTCTTGTTGCCCAAAAAGATAAATATAATTGAGTAATTGAGGGGGGGAAAAAACAGTTAAATTGCACTAGTTATAAACAGGGTTATTTAGTTAACTAAAACTAAAACCATAAAACATTTTTTTGTTATTTAAAATAAAGTTTAACTGAAATAAAACAATATTATTAAAACATTTTTAAACATAAAACAAAAACGAAAACATAAACTTATTTTATTTCATTTACATTGATATACTAAAAATAACTAAAACTGAAATAAAAATGAATAAAAACGACATAATTAAAAACCTAAGTACTAATAATTACTAAAGTACTAATTATATTCTTACCTAATACAATTTTATAATTACATTTTACTAAAAACTTTATAATTAAAATTAAAATATATACATAAACACTAATTCAAAATATGAATAAAAACAATAACAGTATCTCAATCATACTAAAATAACCCTGCTATAAATGGGAAATTGTTTGCTTTAAGCTTAAACTTTATTAAATTTCATAAAAAAAGAAAAAAAGGAACAAACAATTAGATAATTGCCAATTGTATAAGAAACTTCATTCAAGCTATATTCTCTGAAAACGTTTCTTAATATCTTCAAGTCAAGTTTATTTATAATGCACATTGTTTCATAGCAGCTACAAAACATTACGATGTAAATTTTAATATCTTCATGCCTTGTTGCTTTTATCAGATGCTTGCCAATAATATAGTTTGCATTTTGTGACGATAGGAGCAATCAAGATGTTGGGATATGCTGTTGTATATAGTTTTTTCATGATTATGTTGTATATATGCAATGCATTTGGGCATAATTATATTCAGCTTTATAATAAAGAGCTTATACTGTTTTGCCTCACAAGTAATTTGGTATGCTTGAATAATATGCATGAATTCCTGAAAATTCTGCTCATGGGGTGTGGATAGTTCAAAAGATGAATGTGTATCTCCGTATATTAGATTATAATACAGAGGAATTCATACTGTCTGCCAACAGAATAAAATAACATTTTGGGAGCAACTCTTGTGAAAAATTATGGTAGTATTAAAGATTTTGCCCTTCGAATTGATTAATGCTGGCTTACTAAGATGATTGACTAAGGGGAGTTCTGTAATTAAACTTCAACATTTTCCTTGACTGCTGTGAATAATCAACTATGGAAAAACTGTAAGCCTGTGTGTTTTCAGAACTTTTAGTCAATACCATGAAGAAACCTTAAAGCAATGCTAACTATACTTTCTCTCCATAACAGCTAACTGGCTCTCTCTTTGTCTCCCTTTCTTTATCTCTCAATCATTTTTTTCTCTAATGCAACAAATTAAGGAGTTCAGGTAAATGAACTGTTTAGTGCAAAATTACATGGAAACATTCTTCATAGAGACATGCACTTTCTTCCATACAATGCTACTATTTTATCATTTTAGTTTTTGCTTTATTTTATTTTATTCATGGTTTGAATTGGTATGTTTTTTGTTTTGGAAAAGCTTTCCAATTTGTGAAACGGATTTGAATAAAAAAAATGCCATTGTATTTCATTCCCCCCCCGAAATGATTTATACACTTGCTACAAAGAATCTTTGTGGAATTCTGTGTACTCTCTGAATATCATTAACTCTGAATACTTTATGTCTGAGAACATGTTTGGGATAATGAGACAGATGGTAACCATGCTCATGTCTATGTGTTTGTTGTCAGGGTGTGGCATGTACTGCTATGTTGGTAGCCGTCATGACTAAGAAATTGGCGCTTAACAAAGGGGAGAAACATGTGCATTTCTTCATGATGGACATCCAGATCTCCAAGCGGGTGAGCAAGACAGACCATCACATAAAACACCCCATAAATGGCACCCTCTTTCAATTCTTCATTGTCTTTTTGTCAACACCTATGTGTGCTTGGTTATTTCCTTATGACCGATTTGGTAGTCATAAAAAAGATACGTTAATGATAATCAGACTTAGCTTAGCCATTTGGGAATACTTAACTTAATCTTTAAAAATATGCCTCGGTTTCGGATGAGAAACATAAAAAGCAGTGACCCGGAGGATGCAGAGGCATGGATGGAAGCAGCGTTATTTTCCGCATCGCACGCGTGTTATGATTCCGGAGGCTTTTTAGAATATTATTTTTTCCTTAAATAGAGAATTCCAAATAGCAGCACAGTGTGGGAAAATGCTTAGGATGGCCAGGCAGAGACGGCCGCTGAGCTCTTAATAGCCGACAGAAGGCGTCAAAGGGAGGAAACAATCAGGTCCCTGTCAGGAAAACTTGTGTCAGTCCATGAGAAGTCAGGAAATAAGATGCACTGATGTGTGTCCGATGCTGAGGTGGGCATGCGGGCCGCTTGCACTCCTCTAACAGGATCCATCTGTTTGCTTATCAGAGGGAAGGAGGAGAGACCTCAAAATAAATGCATAGATGCTTAGAGTTTCCACAAATGGAAATTAAATCAGACTGCTTTGAGTAAGCAACCACTGACAGGTGTTTCTACATTTGATTATTTCCCACCACTGAAAATACACCTTTTCAGAGGAATAGTCCAGGTTTTAAGCTTATCGACAACAGCAGATTTGACATAAGATTTCAGCAAAAATAACGGTAACACTTTACTTAAAACCTTTATGTATAATGCATTATAAAAGTAGATGGAGCGTCTGGGTGTTTGTCTTGCATCCAACACCTGCACTGCAAAAATGTGTATTCTTAATCAGTAATTTTCTCTTGTTGCCCAAAAAGATAAATATAATTGAGTAATTGAGGGGGGGAAAAAACAGTTAAATTGCACTAGTTATAAACAGGGTTATTTAGTTAACTAAAACTAAAACCATAAAACATTTTTTTGTTATTTAAAATAAAGTTTAACTGAAATAAAACAATATTATTAAAACATTTTTAAACATAAAACAAAAACGAAAACATAAACTTATTTTATTTCATTTACATTGATATACTAAAAATAACTAAAACTGAAATAAAAATGAATAAAAACGACATAATTAAAAACCTAAGTACTAATAATTACTAAAGTACTAATTATATTCTTACCTAATACAATTTTATAATTACATTTTACTAAAAACTTTATAATTAAAATTAAAATATATACATAAACACTAATTCAAAATATGAATAAAAACAATAACAGTATCTCAATCATACTAAAATAACCCTGCTATAAATGGGAAATTGTTTGCTTTAAGCTTAAACTTTATTAAATTTCATAAAAAAAGAAAAAAAGGAACAAACAATTAGATAATTGCCAATTGTATAAGAAACTTCATTCAAGCTATATTCTCTGAAAACGTTTCTTAATATCTTCAAGTCAAGTTTATTTATAATGCACATTGTTTCATAGCAGCTACAAAACATTACGATGTAAATTTTAATATCTTCATGCCTTGTTGCTTTTATCAGATGCTTGCCAATAATATAGTTTGCATTTTGTGACGATAGGAGCAATCAAGATGTTGGGATATGCTGTTGTATATAGTTTTTTCATGATTATGTTGTATATATGCAATGCATTTGGGCATAATTATATTCAGCTTTATAATAAAGAGCTTATACTGTTTTGCCTCACAAGTAATTTGGTATGCTTGAATAATATGCATGAATTCCTGAAAATTCTGCTCATGGGGTGTGGATAGTTCAAAAGATGAATGTGTATCTCCGTATATTAGATTATAATACAGAGGAATTCATACTGTCTGCCAACAGAATAAAATAACATTTTGGGAGCAACTCTTGTGAAAAATTATGGTAGTATTAAAGATTTTGCCCTTCGAATTGATTAATGCTGGCTTACTAAGATGATTGACTAAGGGGAGTTCTGTAATTAAACTTCAACATTTTCCTTGACTGCTGTGAATAATCAACTATGGAAAAACTGTAAGCCTGTGTGTTTTCAGAACTTTTAGTCAATACCATGAAGAAACCTTAAAGCAATGCTAACTATACTTTCTCTCCATAACAGCTAACTGGCTCTCTCTTTGTCTCCCTTTCTTTATCTCTCAATCATTTTTTTCTCTAATGCAACAAATTAAGGAGTTCAGGTAAATGAACTGTTTAGTGCAAAATTACATGGAAACATTCTTCATAGAGACATGCACTTTCTTCCATACAATGCTACTATTTTATCATTTTAGTTTTTGCTTTATTTTATTTTATTCATGGTTTGAATTGGTATGTTTTTTGTTTTGGAAAAGCTTTCCAATTTGTGAAACGGATTTGAATAAAAAAAATGCCATTGTATTTCATTCCCCCCCCGAAATGATTTATACACTTGCTACAAAGAATCTTTGTGGAATTCTGTGTACTCTCTGAATATCATTAACTCTGAATACTTTATGTCTGAGAACATGTTTGGGATAATGAGACAGATGGTAACCATGCTCATGTCTATGTGTTTGTTGTCAGGGTGTGGCATGTACTGCTATGTTGGTAGCCGTCATGACTAAGAAATTGGCGCTTAACAAAGGGGAGAAACATGTGCATTTCTTCATGATGGACATCCAGATCTCCAAGCGGGTGAGCAAGACAGACCATCACATAAAACACCCCATAAATGGCACCCTCTTTCAATTCTTCATTGTCTTTTTGTCAACACCTATGTGTGCTTGGTTATTTCCTTATGACCGATTTGGTAGTCATAAAAAAGATACGTTAATGATAATCAGACTTAGCTTAGCCATTTGGGAATACTTAACTTAATCTTTAAAAATATGCCTCGGTTTCGGATGAGAAACATAAAAAGCAGTGACCCGGAGGATGCAGAGGCATGGATGGAAGCAGCGTTATTTTCCGCATCGCACGCGTGTTATGATTCCGGAGGCTTTTTAGAATATTATTTTTTCCTTAAATAGAGAATTCCAAATAGCAGCACAGTGTGGGAAAATGCTTAGGATGGCCAGGCAGAGACGGCCGCTGAGCTCTTAATAGCCGACAGAAGGCGTCAAAGGGAGGAAACAATCAGGTCCCTGTCAGGAAAACTTGTGTCAGTCCATGAGAAGTCAGGAAATAAGATGCACTGATGTGTGTCCGATGCTGAGGTGGGCATGCGGGCCGCTTGCACTCCTCTAACAGGATCCATCTGTTTGCTTATCAGAGGGAAGGAGGAGAGACCTCAAAATAAATGCATAGATGCTTAGAGTTTCCACAAATGGAAATTAAATCAGACTGCTTTGAGTAAGCAACCACTGACAGGTGTTTCTACATTTGATTATTTCCCACCACTGAAAATACACCTTTTCAGAGGAATAGTCCAGGTTTTAAGCTTATCGACAACAGCAGATTTGACATAAGATTTCAGCAAAAATAACGGTAACACTTTACTTAAAACCTTTATGTATAATGCATTATAAAAGTAGTTGTAATGCATTGTACAATCACATGAATAATTGTAATTACAGTTATCAATTCATTTACATAAGATATGATATATTACAACTCACATTATGATTAATTATAATGCCCTTTAATAATAACCCTTTATAATGCATTATACATAAATGCTTTTAGTTAAGTGTTACGAAAATAACTTTTCCTTGTCCATCATTTTCGAAAGTACCTGTATAGGATCTGTGGAAAGCTGACACAAATACTTTTGGACAGTTGACATTTTTTTAAATCACATTTTAAATTAATATTATTTTAATTATTCATTTAATTTATTAAATCATTCTAATATTTAATTTATTATAAAAAATATATAATTTTATAAAACTATATATTATGTTAGTTTTTAAATGTACAGTTTATATACAAGGGAAATATAAATACATATATATTTTAAATTATTATTATTTTTTATTATGATGAGGAACTTCAAACAGAAGTGGATGTGGCACAATTTTGTGGCCCAGGAAATATAAAAGCACTTATAGCTGTAAAGCTAGTCAATCATTTTTCTGTTATTTTTGGGTTTCTGATGTTTTGTTGTCATGGACAAGTTGTAAAATTGGGGGATGTACAGGAAAAAAAAACTATTTTTAATACATATTGTTTCCGTCTTGCAGCTATACTTTTGAAATAGTGAGTATTTTAATGTTCACAAACTGGCCTCATTTACTTTTATTGTGTTTGCCTCACTGTAGACCAACTTTTGATTTGATGTTTTTTAAGAGGGGCAAGTGGAAATAGTTTTTGTGGTAATCAACATTATGCCACTAAATGTGATGATTGAGTTTAACTTGAACTGAGCCCAGAATATTCCTTTTATTCATGAAGGTCTGAACCTATGTTTTTACCTTGGCAAAAGCCATATCCTGTCACAGGGTGTGTGTGTGTGTGTGTGTGTGTGTGTGCGTGTGTGCGTGCGTGCGTGCCACGGGTCCTACTCATCAGGCCCTGCAATGATTTACCTTGATGATACTTTAAAGGAAGACATCTGGACACAGTTGGACACTCTATTAATAACCACAAACACACAAAATTGCCAGGGAGCTGGTGACATCATTATGAGCAGGTCTTCAACAGGAAGACACACAGACAATAATAGAATCAAAGAAAGCAGAAAAATGTGTGATTAAAAAAAGCCCTTGACTGTCCGTAACCCACATCTTTATGATGGCTATTCACATCCTCAAATCAAGGCCGCCACCTTAATAAACTGCAACAGTTTCCTTAAGTCCTGTCTAGTAATACTCTGCTATGTTGTAATTTGTCATTTACACAATCACATCACAATCATCATATTATAGTTAGCGAGTGTTGTTAAACAGACAGCAACTTGTACAGTATAGTTTTAGACAGTGTTTGATAAGCCATCTTCTGAACAATGTAAACATGCCACTATACTATTTACTTAAGGAATGTCCTACAGACAATAGACTATCATTGTAGAGCTATGATGGATGGATTACTTATTACTCTAATCAAATTCTCTGTGACACAGATCCGGCACGCAGCAGCCAATGTGCTAAGAGAATGTTGGCTGCTGCATCACACCACCCAGACAAAAGACAACAGCGGAGAGCATCGTCACCACCAGAGATGCCTGCTGGAGGCCATCCGTGTGTGAGTGATCCATTACAGCCAGCACTCAACCATTACACATCATACTTAGAGATTCACTAGGAGAAAAAAGACAGGGTCTGTGGATAGCTGACATAAAACAAACTGAGCAGTTGAAAAAAAAATTTTTTTAAACAAATATATAATAAAATATATTTTTAATTACTATTATTTTAAATTATAATGTATATAGAAAATTCAAAAAAAGAAAAGAAAATAGAAAAGAAATGTATTATTTTGAATTAATTATTATAATATTTGTATTTTTTAATATTATAAAAATATAATTTTATTTTAATTTATAATTTTATTATATATTGGCATGCACACACACACACACACACCCTGTGACAGGATATGGCTTTTGCCAAGTTAAAAACCTAGGTTCAGACCTTCATGAATAAAAGGAATATTCTGGGCTTAGTTCAAGTTAAAGGGGTCATATGATGCTGCTAAAAAGAACATTATTTTGTGTATTTGGTGTAATGC